AAAACGTCTCATTCTAAGGTAACGAAAACACAATGATTCTTATTTTCAGGTGATTAAACACTAATGAAAACATACCTATTAATGTTATGTTCAATATATCCTCCTAAATGTTACACACTGGACCTTGAACATTTGTCATGTCAATCAAAAAATACAGCCAGTTGAGGTGGTTCAGGCATCTGATAAGAATCCTTCTTTTGGAGGTTTTCTGGGCATCTCCAACTGGTAGGAGGAACCCGGGGTGGACCCAGAATACGCTGGCACCAAGACCATGACCCCAGATAAGCAGCAGACAATCAACCACGTTTCTCTCTCGTCCACACTCCCAACCTTCCACCAGTTTGTCACATGCACCACCAGAGACAATAAGACCTTGGACCTGCTGTATTGCATGTTCCTGTTTTTTTTTTTATGTCTGTAGCTCTTATTTCATCAAATGTTGCTGCTGACCAAGTGGATTTCCCATTGTGGGAATTAATAAAGTTATCATCATCTCTTATCTTATCTTATGGAGGGATCTAGGGTTGTCAACCAAATTATTTCCTGTGTTACAAGAGAAACAATCCTCTGATACGTTCGTGAGGTGCAGCTCCTGACCGGAGTTTGACATGTTTTTGTTCTTCTGTGACTATCCGACTGAGACACATCGACTAACGGTTGAGTCGACTATTAGGGGGCAGCCCTAGATGGGTCACACTGCACCAACTCCTACAGCTACTAAAGCATATAAGTAGTAAAACTAGAGAAATTTAACATGAGGACATTTAAAAACGTAACCACAACCAACCTTAAGTCTGTTGCCGTGTTTGTCCTGTAAGATTTATCACAAACAGCATCTAAAACCATGTGCTTCTACTAAAGAAAGGATTGTGTTTGTTAGATTCAGTGAATGAATGTACACACCTGACCAACTACATTAATCACATGTACTGTACTTTGAACTGTGCTTTGAGCTCTTCTTACACAAGTGTCCCAGTTTCTGTGTACCTGGAGTGAGTTCAACCAAATGCCTGGTTCTGTTTGTTTTTATTTGTATGCCAGCATGAATGTGTGTGAGTTTGCTGATCTTTGTAACTGGTTCCCATGGTATCAGACCACCATGTTCCCAGCCCCCCAGTATCAGCTGGCCTGTTGTGGTTTGATGATGCAGCTCAGGAATCTGTCACCCAGAGCAAAATGCATCGTGGTGTTTAGAGTCAGGCCCACAAAATATGGAGGCGGTTTCTGAGGGGAAAAGCTCGGCGACTCGGCCCCTGGATGTGATTAACTGTGTGTTTGTGGGAGGATATCTTGATCAGTGTGTGTGTGTGTGTGTGTGTGTGTGTGTGACGACTTACATTGTACCCCTTCAGTTTACCCTCTCCTCAGATACCCTTTTCTGGTTTTTGTTCAGCAAGTAGCAGCGGTGGAAGATGTACTCTTTTATGGAAGCTACAAGCAGTCAAATACTCGATTAGAACTGAAACACTTTGTTTACTTTAATAAAAGTTCTGCAGTAAAATATGTAAATAAAATTACTGAGAATTAAAAAGTTTAGTATTTTTTAGTTTTGATGGAGTCCAGAGAAGTAAAAAGTAAGAAAATAACAAACACAAAAAAAGGAATCAAAGACTGTAGAATAAAATACTACAGTAAATATACTTTCTACTGTGATTTATTGTGATTGTATTTATTACAATAATACAGCAATGAAATAATTTATTACTTTACATTTACATTAAATCCATTTGGAAGAAGATTTTTGTTAAATTTTTTTTCCAAATACACACGAGGAAAGTGAGGCCATTTGGAAAGTAAAGAGCTTTTTGGAATTTCAGGATGTTTCATGAAAATAAGTCAAATCTTTGGAAAACTGGGTTCATATTAGAAAGTGAGGACATTTCATGAAGGATGATATTTTAAAGTGATGACAGTTGAAATGTGAACAGGACAATTTGGAAAGTAAAGAGCTTTTTGGAATGTATTTAGTTATCTGAAAATAAGGACTTATTGGAAAAGTGGGGACATATTAGAAAGTGAGAACATTTCCAAAGGGAAAGATATTTCTGGGAACTAAAGACATTTTTTGGCCATGAAAACAAAGACATTTTTGAAAAATGTGGACTTGAAAGTGAGGTTGTTTTTGGGAAAGTGAGGACATTTTGTAAAGCGAGGACTTACTTTTGGACATTTTTTACGAAAACAGAGGAGAAAATATCGGTAAAGTGAGGACAAAGTGAGTATGTTTTAAGAAACTGAGGACACATTTTGAATGGGGACATTTTTTGATCATGAAGACAATCTTAGAATATACATTTTTATATACATTTTTTTAAAATATGAACTCTTTGAAGCTTGGGAAGGTCAGGATAATATTGGAAGGTGAGGACATTTATAGAAAATGTGAAATATGTGAGGACATTTTGTAAAGTGAGGACATTAGATACTTCTGGAGACAAAGGACATTTAAGGAAAAATGGAAATATTGGGACATTGAGGACGTTTGAGGACGTTTAAAGAACTTGAGGAATGTGGATATTTTTGGAAAACGAGGACTTTTCCAAGTGAAGTAAAGACATTTTGTCCGGTCCTCGCGTTATAGTGTTTTGGAAGGAATTATGTGTGTGGTTGTGGTTTTGGTCACGGTGGTGTTTACGGGGTTAAGAGTTCATCACCATCAAAACTCGAATTCTTTGGATTTGGGCTCCCGATGTCTCCTGATTCCACCCCGCCGATTCTCTGCGTCAAGACGTCAAAACAAGTTAAAACACTTTCAAATCCCAACAGATGTTTCAAAGACAAAACAGCATCAGAGATCTTTTACCAACTGGCTGCTACTCTGAATAAAAGCCTGTTTACAGGAATGCTTTATTCTCTTTAAAATGTATGACCTCTTGTTTCAACCCACACTTGTATTGTTTTATATCTCCAATCCAGTGATCCTAATAAAATTTGATTTTGAAAATAATCAAATCAGTTTTATGTAATTGTTTATGAAGAACATAAAAAGGCCCAACAAGGGAAGGTCATAAATTAGCGTGATTATCACAGCTTTTTTTGTTTGGAACAATGAGTCATTATTGCTTTGCACATCCACAAACACGACACATACTTGGGTTTAATGTGATTAACTCAGCTGAGGCTCGGCAAGTCTGTGCCATAAATCTCTATACTCTGCTCTCAGCGGGGGCTCCTTACCTCCAGCGCTGCCAGAAAAAACCCAAAACCCACGACTCCTGTTCACTTTTGTTCCCCTCGTAATGAAATCAGGTAATAAGGGCGTGGCAAACGAGCTGAGCAGAGCTTGTATACAGCACAAGACTACCAGAAACTCCAGGGGAGATGCTGTTCACGGTGTACCTATGCCAGAGACTGCTAATAGGCATTCTGTCCCTCTCCCTTTGCTTGATTGGGACCAGATGTGTGTGTGTTACACTCTGGGAAATGGCTGAGATGAGAGACAGCGAGGCCGCCAGAGCCACAATAAATTCGTGGAACGGCTAATGAATAAAACAACAGCGGATTAAATGTGCCATAGCTAAAAATAATTTGATTAAGAATCTGATTCAGCAGCCAAATTGTTCGAGGCCATGCTGGAGACAGCTGTATCTTTATTTGAGCTCTGGTGTACGAGACCACATTTTCCCTCCTAATGAGCTTCTACGAGACTTCGATCGAGGGCTTTTTATGGGGATTTCTGGGCAAAGCTCGAGGCCTAATGAATCAGTTGTCATCACATGTGATTGCCTGTTTAAAAAGTCCCAAACTTTCTGACTCTGTTAAGTCAGGTTCAGCCGGGGTCAATCCACAAAAAAACACGCCCCTCTTTAGCCAATAACCTGCCTGGATCAACAAGTGTCTCCATCCACCACTCGTTTTCATCACAGTGACTTTACTTCTGAGAATGAGATACGAACTTCCATATCAATCCCACGTCTGAGTACAGAGTTGGAGTCAGGATGTGGTTAGCCTAGCTTAGTGTGAAGACTGGAACCATTGGGAAACGGCTAACCTGGTTCGGTGCCATGCCATTGTTCTGATGGCCCAGTTGGACAAAAAGTGCATTTGTCCAGCAGCCTGTTTTTCTGAAAACAAAAGCCCACTGGGGGTTGGGGTTTCAGAGTAATGGGCCATTGGACCAGTGGTTGCTGTCCAAAGTTAAAAAATACAGCCAACACCTCTAAACCAGACTTATTCACAACATATATCCTGTTTGTTTTAACCTGCAAGTAGGACTTTTAGGGGGAGTTGTCCTGGAACTACCTTGGCTATATGTCGAGCACAGGTTTTGGTTTTCGATCTCTTTACAGGCGCAAAACCATAAAGACAAAACTTCAGGAAGCTTTCCAACAAAAAACAATAGTCCCAGATGTGTTTAGCCTAGCTTAGCACAAACACTGGAGGCAGAGGGAGGGTGGAAATAACCGCTACCAACAATTTCAAAATCCCCTAACTGTATGTTGCATCATGTTTGCGGGTCACCAATCCAACAGAGAGTCAGCTGGGTTTTGATTGCAGGAAAGTAAGTGCCCATTTTACAGAAAACAACTGCTGCACCGGGGGGTTGTTGGTTCGAGAACTGCTCCCTAAACCCCTGGACTCTTAAACAAGTAGATCAGCTATATCAACAAGTGCCCTAAAAAGGCAACTTTTGTAAGTTCAGTCTCGCTCTATCTTGGAGAAAAACTACAAAATCCAACCAAAAACCAAACTAGTGCAGTCATTGTGCTGCTTCAGTGTCTGTAAATCCTGAATTATAGACAGTTTCGATGTAGAAATTAAAACAAAGGGACTCTTCGTGTTCTCCACTGGGAACTCTTACTGACTTCATCTGTTAGCTGAGCCCATTAGAGCAGATAGTGATAATAGATCAGGTATTACGGTGCTAATGCTAGCTAGCTACAAAGGACAAGGTATTACTGTCCTAATTAAAATGTGTCGTAGGTTAAACCTCACAAACTAATACTTAAATTCTTCATTACTATTTCCACTTTTTACACATGAAACAATAAGAAAGAAAATAAATAATAAATAAAAAATGGTCAGAGGTTAAATAATTGGTCATCGTTTTTAAGCCATGAAAATTACTAACATATACATATTTAATAAGCACTTAACTGCTGTTCTACCTAAAACATATTTGTCTGGACAGTCACAAAGTCGGGATGTGGACATAGATCTGAACCAACAATTCATCCCACTTCATTTTAAACGCTACAACAAAGTGATGCTAACTGCTTTTGCTCTAAGAGACAGTTTTTTGACGTGGAACATGAAAATTTGTTTTGGATCGCTGAGGACCCACAGAGATTAAATTGATGTCCGTCTTCTCTTGTGACTCTCTCTGAAACAAAAGAACAGAGGATCCCAGAGAGAGTTCACAGTTGCAGTCTGAGCATGATGGATGAGAGGTCTGAATGCCTCGGGCCGGCTCTGATGCACTTCCTTATTCCTTCTTGTACTTCCTTCGTGTCCTTTTGTTCTAGTGCTGCCCTCGTCTCTCTTTGTCTGATTGTCTGTCTTAACTAACTGCTTGTGTTTTTCATCTCAACACAAACTGACAGCCCGACTCCACTCCTGACTTTCACTCGTCCGTCCTGCCTGCTGCTCAAGGCCGCAGCCGGGACGAGTCCAAACGTCTGGACGTCAGACTGCTGAAGGGCCTGTTGAAACCCCATCCAAAGCGCTCACCAGTGCATAGAAAAGGTCCCGCACAGCGAACGCACTGCCAGTGGAAATAGAGCTAGGTGAGACAGGGAGGCATTGTTTGGTCCTGTTTCTCCCTCCTTACAGGTGGGACTCCTCAGAGTCTGCAGCACAGACCTCCGTTCAGACGGATCAGGGACACTCTCCAAGAACATTAAGAGGGCTTGGCACGAGGTTGGCATGGCACCGACTAAACGCCAAGTCTGGAGGGAACGGTAATGATGGTGGAGGAGCTCAGGTGTGGACTTCAGCTTTAGTAGAATTAAGTGATCTGTACTTGATTCATATAGATTCTTCATATATTCCTCATCATTCATCATCATAATACTTTTGGTTTTTACAACAAATCCTCTTAAGACTTAAAAGCTTAATTCTAACCACAAAGAATAATTTGATGTTTTGTTTGTCAGCATTTCGTCTTAAGAGTTTCGGGCCGATTTACCTCAAATTTCACCACAACTTACACAAAACTTGTATATTTTCAATTAAAAGCTGGTAGTCTGTGTGACATTCTGTGATTTTTTTAAAGTAACCTTAATGAATAGTTTAACATTTTGGACTATTCCTGAAATTTAAAGGGAAAATCGAAGTTCAAGAGCTTAAAAACGTCAATACAAATCAAAGGCTACATGGAGAAAACTGATCCGCTGAGAGGCAGAAGACAAAACAGATGACTGATGCAAAGCAGCACTTTATATTCCAGAGAAAACAGGGAGGGCGGAGAAATACACAGGCAAATTGAGAGACAGACGCTGAGGGTGATAAAAAGAAGAGATAAAGGGAAACATGATGTCAGGCCGCTGTTCAGCGCTGCAAACTGGCTGCAGATGGCGGTACGAGAGGTCAGGGATGGAAATTAAAGAACAAATTCAGAACAGCAGCTGAGGGGGAGAGGAGGTGCTCTGACCGGGGGACGCGGGAGGAAGGCCGAGGGGTCAGCGTGGACCCGACATTCAGGTTTTTAAACAGCAATTATAAGTTCCTCCAGCTTCCAGCTTGGAGCGGCGGCGGCAGCCTGACCCCTAATCATCCTCAATTTCACTCAGGCTCTGATACACGTCTCCTCGGATTGACTGTTTATTTTTCACAGCGCTTCCTGTTTGATTGAGCACCACGGGCTGTGTGTCTTTACGGATAGCAGCGAGGTCAGAGGTCATGTGCACACTTACTACGAGCGTTAAAAATGATCCACCGCCACGAGCAGTCGATTTATTAAAACAGATCTATCAAAATCCCATTTCTTGTACAGAATAAAGCAAAATACACAGTGGTAGTTATCAGTGGTTGCTGGTGGTCATTAGTATTATTATTATATTATTATTCATCAGATCATTTAATATTATGATTATTTTTACTTTGTTTCTGAGCAATTATGTATTTTTCCTAAGTTTTAGTTTTGCACAAGGCTACAAATACTACAATACCCATAAGCCTCATAGGAACAATATATATTAATGATAGCTAAATGTTGATTTCAGATGTAGTTACTTAGCTAGGTAACTAATGAATCTTCATTCTGTGTCGCTAAAATATTGATTGACGGGTGAATGTCAGGATATTATTGGTTAAAATCAGTTAGTTCATGCTGACGTAAGCACGCATCACATTCAATTTTACAGGAAGACACAGTGATTGGATTCTAATATAAAAACACAAAGAAATTGAGTTTTTTAT